ACACTATAAACGCAGGAAAAAAATAACGGAACTGCTTATGCAGACACGAATTTCCCGTCAAAGAAGGAATAATTTAAATAGGGAGATTGAAGAAATCGAGCGGAAATTGAAACACTCATATGAAACTGAAGAAAGGCAGTTAGAACAGAAAGCCATTCAGGAAATAAAGAAAAATCCAAAATATTTCTTCTCATATGCGAAATCAAAAGCAAAAACCACTGCCAGTATTGGACCTATTCGTACAAGTGAAGGTTCATACACGGAGGATGACAAAGAAATTAGTGAAATCCTAAAAAAGCAGTATGAGGACATGTTTAGCACTCCAATAAACAACATGAAGGTGGAAGATCCAGACAATTTCTTTATGCGGGGTATTCAAACCCCTGTAAATATAACTGATATAAACACGAGCGCACTAAATTTTGAAAAAGAAATTGAAAACATGCCCATGCACTCGGCCCCAGGTCCAGACTCATGGAATTCAATATTTATAAAGAAATGCAAAGTGCCGGTAGCACAGGCACTCAGTGTAGTGTGGAGGAAGAGCTTGGACACGGGGGAGATACCAGATGCACTTAAAGTAGCAGACATAGCCCCTCTACACAAGGGAGGGAGCAAAGCATTGGCAAAAAATTATAGACCAGTTGCACTAACATCGTACATCATAAAAGTATTTGAGAGAGTGATTAGGAGTCAGGTCACCAATTTCATGGAGACCAATGACCTTCACAACCCAGGCCAACATGGATTTCGAGCGGGAAGATTGTGCCTCTCACAGCTACTTGAGCACTACGACAAAGTCACTGAGGCATTAGAAGAGAAACAGAATGCTGATGTGATATACACGGACTTCGCAAAGGCTTTCGATAAATGTGACCATGGCGTGATAGCACACAAAATGAAGTCAATGGGAATAACCGGTAAAGTAGGACGCTGGATACTCAGTTTTCTGTCAAACAGGACTCAGCGAGTAACTGTCAACCATATAAAATCTAGTCCAAGTGCAGTGAAAAGCTCTGTACCTCAGGGTACAGTCCCTGCACCGCTGCTTTTCCTTATTCTCATAGCAGATATAGACAAAAATACAAGTCACAGCTTCGTATCATGCTTTGCAGATGACACAAAAATCAGTATGAAAATTACCTCGGCTGAGGACATTGAAAAACTTCAAGCTGATATTAATAAAGTTTTCGACTGGGCATCAGAAAATAACATGATGTTTAACAGTGATAAATTCCAGGTACTCAGGTACGGTAAAAATGAGGACCTTAAACATAATACAGAGTACAAAACACAATCAAATGTACCCATAGTAGGAAAACGGCATGTAAAGGATTTGGGAATAATAATGTCTGACGACCTAACGTTTAAGGAGCATAACCAAGCAAATATTGCGACAGCCAGAAAAATGATAGGATGGATTACGAGAACTTTCAAATCCAGGGATCCCATCACAATGGTTGTACTCTTCAAGTCACTTGTGTTGTCCCGTCTTGAGTACTGTTCAGTACTCACTTCCCCCTTCAGAGCAGGAGAGATTGCTGAAATAGAGGGAATACAGAGAACATATACGGCACGCATAGACGCAATAAAGCACCTAGATTATTGGGATCGTCTGAAAGCCCTCCAAATGTACTCACTAGAAAGAAGACGAGAGAGATATCAAATAATATACACCTGGAAGATACTGGAGGGCCAAGTACCAAATCTACACAGTAAAATAACAACGTACTGGAGTAAACGATATGGAAGAAAATGTAGAATAGAACCAGTGAAGAGCAGAGGTGCCATAGGCACAATCAGAGAACACTGTATAAACATCAGAGGTACGCGGTTGTTCAACGTCCTCCCAGCAAGCATAAGAAATATTGCCGAAACAACCGTGGACATTTTCAAGAGGAAACTAGATTTATTCCTCCAAGGAGTGCCGGACCAACCGGGCTGTGGTGGGTATGTGGGCCTGCGGGCCGCTCCAAGCAACAGCCTGGTGGACCAAACTCTCACAAGTCAAGCCTGGCCTCGGGCCGGGCTTGGGGAGTAGAAGAACTCCAAGAACCCCATCAACCAGGTATCAACCAGGTATCAACCAGGGACGACGACGTTTCGGTCCGTCCTGGACCATTCTCAAGTCGATTGTGTCCAGTACATACTGGACAACATCCTCACAATCGACTGAGAATGGTCCAGGACGGACCGAAACGTCGTCGTCCCTTCACCTTCTAGTGTGTGGTCTGGTCAACATAAACAGGAGGGGTTGGCGGGTGCATGGAATGTGCTTGAGTGCTTGAGATAAGAATGGAATTGTTGGAGACTGAGAATTAATGGAATATGATCAGAGCCCGTTATGGGGCCTGGTGAAACATAGTGTTGGAGGTTGTTTCCGCGTATATATGTGAATATGAGATCAGGTCTGCCAGAGCCTGCATGTATGAAAGAAGTGGGGAAGTCAGGGCCGAGGAAGAACATATGTTTTTGAAGATATAGTTGATGAAACTATTGTCCATGGTGATTTTAGGTACTGTGGTGGAATGTAGGGTGCTGTGCATTGAGGTCTGCAAGCAGAAAGACAGGCAAGTGAGTGTGGTTGAAGAGTGGTGATGTCTTGCATTGGAATGCCAGTGTTAGGACGGATGTAGGTTGTGCAGGTGGTGAGAGGACCCTTTTGTGTGTGTACTTTTATGGTTAGAAAGTGTTTGTGAAGCCAGGGAGTTGTTGTTGTTTTAGATTTAGCTACTCAGTACGAAATGTCAATATAGCACGGGCCCGTAATGGCCAGGGAGTGTGTAGTTCAAGTTTATAGGAAGACCTTGTGAGTATTGTAACACTTTCGTGTGCTTCATCGGGTCACTAGTACGGTGAGTAGCCAAAGTGTCTGATTTTATGCGAGTTTGTGATGTATTAAGTGCTGTTAAGAAGCAGCACATCAGGACGTTCAATCTCAATAAAATCAGACACCAGGTGTCTAATGGTGAAGAAGCCCGTACTTTGAACTGTGTGATCTTTATGAATGTGAAGATTTAGGTCTTGAGCTGTTTGGAGTGCGAGCAAGAACAGAAGGAGCTTTAGTTCGTTGAGTGGTTTGGTCACCGGCATATATGATACAGACTGTAAGGGAAGGGATCGTGGTGAAGTTAATAGGGGCGGAACGATTTTTTGGAACAAGGAAGGTGGTACTAAGTCCAGAGTTCGTAGCTGAGGGTGGAAGAGAAGGGTCTGTAAGAGGGGGATTGTCATGTGACAGAATGGTATTATTTGCAGAAGTGATGAGGGAAGTGGAAGGAGTATCAGTAGTGGGCGCAGTGAGGAGAGAAAGGAGAGGTCAGTGGGTCGAGAGGAAGAGGCATTGGGATGAGGGGCATGGTCAGGGGGGGAATGACTGGATAAGTGGGGGGAAGAGGGAGAGTCAGGGTGAGGAAGGGTCTCAGCAGGAAGATGTTGGGGTAGTATGTGCTGGACATTAGCAGTTGGGTTCCATTTTCTCTGTCAGTTATAGAAGCACTGGTGTTGGAAGTGTGGGGGACTGTAGAAGATGTGATGCGTAGCTGCTGTGTAGGAGTATGCACCGTGGGGGAAAAAGGAACAGGGCGCAAGAGGTGTGGAAGAGGTACAGAAACACTACGAAGGCCATTATGAGTGAGGAAAATGGGAAGGTAGTCAGCAAATTTTCGACCGTCGTCTTTAACTTGCAAATATGCTGCTTGGACGCAGGCTGTGACTCGCTCATGTCATGTTCTGGAGAGGAGAGTAGGGTGGAGATGGTGGGTGAGTATGATGGGCAGTAGTAGGGGGGTGTTGATGCTTGTGAGGGGAAGCATTAAGGACACTGGCATAGGACATGGAGTTGGCTGATGCTGTTTGGTGATGGGATGAATTTTGGGAGATTGAGAAAGAATGAGGTTGTGCATGAGTACGAGATTCAAATTAAAAATTCAAATTTTTATTCAGGTAAAAGTACAGACATAGAAGATGAGTTACAAACATAATGTTGGATTTATAGATAGAGCTAGTACATACAATACCTAAAGCCACTAATATGCATAGCGTTTCGTGTAAGTTAGGTTGGTTAGTACGAACAGTTTTCAGAGTTCGTTTCCTCAGAGGGCAAAATTTATCTACTGCTGAATGAGCACTTTGGCAATTAATGCATTTTGAGGTGTTGGCCGAGCACCAAGTGTAAAAATGGCTTTCTACAGAGCATGTAGAACAAATTTGTGAACTTCTGTATTTACGCGTTTCATGACTGTACTTATAGCATTTGAAGCATTGCAAGATATTCCTCTGGACTTATCTGGTAGGGAGGAGAGCTGGTGTTAAGGATTTTGATACCTTGATGCAAAAGTTTTTGGGCTTCTGCAGGAGAGGAACATTGAATCTTGAGGTGTTTGGTATTAGGCACTGTGTATATCTCCATAACAGTAATGTCATTCCTGTCTGAAATATCCTGAGAGAGATTGATGTTGTTAGGTGCAGAAAGAAGACAGCTGTCAACATTTCGTACAAAAACAAAACATTTAGTTTTTTGTGCAATAGTAAGTACAGGAGTCAGAGAAGCTTGGGCGAGTCTGCTAAAAGCAGGTTCCTTAAAACAGGTAAAAAGGTAGTCTTCAGAAGCAATGAGGAATGTGATGCTGTTGATGTTGGCATGTTTAACATGATAAGTGGCAGGTGGCATTGTAGAAAGTAGTGATGCAGTCAATAGCGTTAATGGATGTAGTGCCAGGGTAGTTTCATCAGCAGACAGTGAGCCATTGTGATTCACTGGTTAGTCACATCTCCGGTTGTAGGGGTTGAGTGTTGACCCGGTGTTCGGTGTGACTGGACCTGTGAGCGGGTCCTCCCGGTTGTGTTAGCCGGCGGCATGGGGCTGCCACCGCCTCCTGTCCGCCGTCCAGCAGCCGTCGGCTTGGAATTAGCTGGCGGAGCAGGAGCGCCCAGGACCCATCCGGCGTCATGAAGTGATAGTGGAGGACCCACAAACCCTTCCTCCTTATAAATAAATGTATAAATAAACTTTATTGAACGTTGAGAATTACAAATGAGTAATTAAAAGCAGATTTAGAACAATACAATTTGTTAAAGATTTCTTAAATATAAAATAAAACTGTTTAAAATTTTATTTTTTAAAACCTGAGGGTATTTTCCCGTGTTACTGAGTTTATAATATGGTATTATAATAATATGTAGTATTATAAATCTCAAAATCAATCATGTCTTAGACGAGCGCAAAATTAAGCTCCGTTATTTACAGCAGAACAATGCTAAAAGTTTTTGATCAGTCGGGTTTGAATAATACAAGTCATTATTACATTGTCAGATTAAAAATACAAGTCGAGTTTCATTGAAAACGACCACGAGCAGTAGTCGATAAGTTGCTCCATAGACTTGTCAGCAAAAGTGAATCACTGCCGACAGATGTTAGATGATCTTAAGTAGACAACTGCCGTTGGCGAAAGCCATATGTTGACCGCAGTGACGGGTGAATGGAGGGTGTTGACGTCATCCAGCTTGAGGTTGGGTGCATCTCGGCAGCTTGATCTTGAAGTCGTGTGGGATGTTGCTTTTCGCTCTGCCCACGACTCAAACTTATCTGAAACGACGCCTATATTACTTTACTATTATTGCTTACTGGACTACAAACTTTTCTAGTAATGCTTATTTGTTGCCAAAATTTCTGGAAGTTTAAAGATAGCTGTATACTCTGTCCATTTGAATGATATTTTAGGGCCTACTGAATATAAGACTGCATTAAAGCGCAACAACAATTCCTTTATAGTTCATAAATTATACGGAGGACTATACAGCTAACCTAAAGAGCTATAGGCTCCACCTTTTAAAATTCTGATAGACTGTGTAGCGATAATTTAAAATTTAGTTAACCTGGTTTCATGATTGTCTGCGCCTCTTGCCAGCCAGCACCCGCCTCATTACGCCCTTCCTGGTCACGTGTCCACCTACTGGAGGCTTCATCGCCGTCTTGTCGCCTGAGACAGTGCAGAAATAAAAAATATATATGTACAGATAATGTTAATGTTGTAATGGAGCTACGAAAAGATAAACAAAAAAATGGTTCGCTCAAAGTGCATAACCTTGAGAAAAGGAAAATATATCAACATGAAAAAAATACCTGAACGATTGAAGCTCGTCCTCTTAACTAATGGGTCGCGTTTTTTTTAACGTTATCGCAACCAGATATACAAATGCAACTAGTTATAAAAGTTACTGCTCAAATATTCACGTTTTCTATGTATCTGACTCGATGTGTTAAGTTTCTGGTTAGGCTAAAAGGTTGACATTTAATATATTGGCAAATCAAGAGAATGAGTTGGACAATTAACGGCGTCGAGGAAATTAGGATGAATGACAAACTATGAAAATTCGCCGAGAAGGGGTTTCCAGACCACGATTAATGTGTATGATCTCCAGGATATAACTGATGGAGGCCTTAAAAATATAATTGGTAGTCGACAAGATATTTACTTTAATCTAATTGGCAACATTCTAATTTGATTAATAAAATTGTACTGAATTACGTGTGCCTCAAATGGAGATGGAGCTTAGATCAAACATAGAAGAACTAGAGCATAAAGAACGAGATCCGGTGAGAGTTGCAAGGAAAAGACTATAACAAGTGTGAGGAGTACAATATGTAGCCATCAGCACAGGAGCAGATACAAAAATCTATATTATATACATCATTATGAGTAGGTGACAACTAAACCTTGTGAAACACCACAGTTTATGTAGAAACAGGTTTCAGTTAAACCATCTACAACAGTAGCAGCCAATTTATCAGAGGAAGATAGAAATAAGTGAACAACGTAGAAAGCCAGAACATGGAGTCTTTGGAGAGTAAAGATTTGTCATACTGTCATAAGCTTTGGAAATATGCAGGACTGCGAGCAAAACACTCGCCTTCCTCACAATGTGAGGTGGACCATGAGAGTGGGATGGTGAAATCACCAATAAAACGCTCATACGGAGACTGCAGACTAGGTGCTTAGAAAGCTTTAAATTGAGGATAGGTTCAAACACTTTTGAGATTATAAATTCAGAGGTGATGTGGTTACGAGATATCCTTCTAGACTTAACACTTTTTTATTTATTTATTTATTTATATGAGTTCTTACATTCTTGTACAACCACTAGCACGCATAGCACACACATCCCCAGGAAGCAGCCCGTAGCAGCTGTCTAACTCCTATGTACCTATTTACTGCTAGGTGATAAGGAGCATCAGGGAGAAAGAAACTTTGCCCACTTATTTCCGCCTCAGCTGGGGATCGAACCCGGACCCTAAGGATTACGAACCCCGAGCGCTGTCCACTCAATGCTGTTCCTACAGTAGGAACACACTGTTCCTACAACAATTTGAAAGAGAACTCTTGGAGACAATATTGCCTCTGTTATAAGGTAGTTTACAACATATAAATGTCTTCCTGAGAACCCAAGAATATTTTAATTGACTATGTCATTTTATGTCTCTTTGTATTCTTCTACCTGAGCTTGTTAGGGAATGTGGGTAGAGCTTCAGTTCATGAGTCCGTCTCTTAAACGTCCACTAGGCTATATGTAGGGACCAAATACACCCTGGAGAGATTCGTCGTTTTATTGCACGTATAGAGCCCGTCTCTAGTACCTCTTCCCCAAGCTTGCCCATAACACACTAAGTAGTTCCTTCTGTTGTGTTAATGGTTTACTAGGGGCTGTAGTTTGTGTTCTGGCTCCTCGCATGTAACAGTTTGTCTCTGTCAACCTTGTCGATGTACCCGAGTATTTGGTATCATCATCATGTGTTCAGCCGATTCTTCCCGTTTCGTAGCTCCTTGAGGCTCAGCCCTCTGTATGCTTGGTTTTAACGAATGAAGGAGCATGAATCGGCACCCCCGGCCCCTTCCCTCAACACTGTTCCACTGCAGCTTTCCCCACTTGCTGGCTGCTCCTGGTCCTTCCTATCGCTCTCACTCTCCCACCTAGAAGGTTCGCTGGCACCGAGCGCTGGCTCCGCTTCTCAAGCTATCCTATTTCTTAAACTTATTATATTTCACTCGACGCTTGTGTTCCTTCTTTATTTATTCAATAAACATTATTTTCCGAATAAATTTTCTAAACCGAGTACAACGTAAACTTTTCTGCACCTTTTAATTTTTAGGCTATCAGTGAGCAAAACAGTAATTTTCCAACTATAACATTTATAATCATTCTCTACACATACACCTTACAAACATGCACAAACCTTTTATTCATTTCTTCGTATTTTGTTTACATCCAACATGTTTTCCCAAGTATAAAGGCAGCAAAAACTACATTTCAATACCGTTGGAGTGGTGGTGGTGGTGATCGTCGTCGTCAGTCAGGGTGAAGGTTGGGGGAGGCGGAGGCAGGTTCTGGACCAGGAAGATGGAAGGGTTGGCTGCATGGGCCACCGTCAGGCAGCGACACCAGCTCCAGCAGGATTCGACGCCCGGCACCAGTTGCTCGTACGCCTGCAAAGGTAATTCTCATAATTCGTATCCTCCTCCAGTCATTCCATCAACCGCCCTTGGTCACTAGAAATATGTCTAGGAAACATGCACAATGACTAGCTGGTGTTCAACCACCCTCCTTCCCCATGCCGTTATCAAGGTAAAGTCCATGGCCAGATAGCATGCACTTCCTCCCATTCCCAAGGTAACCAAAACCATTGTCAAGGTAGCGGCAGCATTAACTGACAATGGTGTTTGTATCATAGCCACCGGATCGACTGCCGACATTTTTATATTTTTAAGGAGAGGCTGCACAAAATTTCATACTAATTTTAAAATCTCAATCTTTTATTTTATTAATTTATGAATTTTATTTTAAATTTAAGGCTTGTTTTTATACAAACATGCAACTTTTGTATTATGTATTCATCTAGCCAGTCTCGTGCAAGGTAAATCATTACTTGTGGGACCCAGATAAGGCATATGAAGATAAAAGATAACCGATATTAGACGATAGGCAAGATCAGTTATCTATCATCCTAACTCGAATTATAGATAAATCATGTTTATCTGGCAGTTTCAAGTACAGAACCACATAAGATCATATGGTACGTTGCTGCAGCTCTCGGCGACACAAGTAGGCAATTACATAAAATTTATTGATAACTCAACAACTAGAAGCTCTTTGAAATATATTGTGCACACAAGCGACACAAACAAAATCTTTCCGAGGGCAACTTTACTAACTTTATCAAGAGCAGAGAGGAGAGGCTGCCTCAGCAATGGGGAGAAGGTGTGACAGACATAGTAGCGGAGAGTCTGAAGGTGGGCGTGTTGAACCGTATAGAAAAGCTCCAACTGGCTGCTTACCAAGTGTAGAATATCTGGAAAGTGCCAATGAAGTGTCACTGAGTGGAGAAAAGTAGCTTCCTAGCATCAGTGAATACAGTCACACGGTGGGGTATGGTAGAATGGGGAAAACAGACAGACATTTTTTTGGGACAGACCATTTAACAACGATGATTATAACCAGAAGTAGTAACCTCTAATGCTAGTGTATCCTAAATCAGACATAGCTCAGGTTGGGTACAGTGGTCGCTTAGGACACATATTTGGAATTAGTATTGAAAATAAAAGTTGGATCAGAAGCTGGATGAATAAGGGATGATGATTTTAAAGGGCCTGAGAACAAATTCTAGAGTTGAGGAATGCAAGTATAAACTGAGGTGGTGGCTCTTATGATGATATGGCAGCCTATTCTTAACCAATTAGCAAAAATATTGTTAGTTGATTATGTGACTAACGATGTTATAATTTGATAAGTGTTGTCAAGAAACTATTACAGATTGTAACTTAAATTTTTGTGCATCTTTTTCACAAATAAGAGTACCCATTTACCAACAAGCGTCACCAAGGTGTCAACACAGCAGCTGGAATTGGACCGTTTAGAGGAGTTGCATCCGGTGGCTGTTGTAGCAGACGAGGAGGTGCATCCGGTGGGCCAAGGATTGGGCCGGGTGGCTGTTGCAGCGGGCGAGGGGTTGGGCCGGGTTTCTGTTGCAGCGGGCGAGGGGTTGGGCCGGGTGGCTGTTGCAGCGGGCGAGGGGTTGGGCCGGGTGGCTGTTGCAGCGGGCGAGGGGTTGGGCCGGGTGGCTGTTGCAGCGGCTGAGGACCTAGACCTAGTGATTATAGAATTAGATGAAGACTGAAACCCGGTGGCAATTGCAGTGGATGATAACCTCGACCCGGTGGCTGTTGTAGGGAATGGGGATTCAGCTGTTGTAGATGTGGGCTTGGATCTAGTGGACATAACGCATGCCGAGGATGTAGACTGGGTCCTCACATTGGGTGAGGACCTCAACTCAATGGTTGGCTTAGACGAGTTCCTGGATATTCTACTGTTCATGCCTGCAGTGGACCTAGTCGCTTTTGCAGGCAAGGTAGGTACTAATGTTGATGGGATAAAATTGGTGGCGGGATCATCAGAAAGAGGGAGAGGCTTAGCGTTAGTGGGTGCGGTGGAGGGTGCGGATGTGGAGGGTAATAGCGCAGTGGAGAGAGCTTGTTCACTAGTAGATTTAGGCAGGGCAGAGGGCAAGGGTGGGCGTTTAGACAAGCTCCAGTAGTCTGTCAGTTGGGCAAGCTTCTTGACGATATCTGAATGTTTTGCCCAGGTTACTCTGCAAGAATTGAGCGAGTTGTTGCTTAATAAATTTGGGTTAAAATGTTAATTTCTTTACGTAAGGCACACGCATGCTTCACCTTTGGCAGTATAAAGTAATGTACCTATACACACCGTTACAATGCTGAACGCTAGACATTTTATGAAAGTATTATACAAGCGAATATAGCGACGCAATACAAGGGAATACTTAATCAATGCAAACTTTTTGAAATGAACTAAATGTCTCCGATAATGTCCAATGTGAAAAATTGCTTGTAAATATAATAGGCTTCTTGATGGAGCGTCAGCTGTAAAAGATTAAGAACTGAAAGATTGTTGCATGTTAATATACACAGTAAATATGTACTTAACGGTCAATACTAAATTTCGTTATGACCTAATGATTAATAAATTTAGATTAATAAGAATGATGTTAGGGAAACGCAAATACAACACATTTATAGACTTAAATCGGATGTTTTGCAATTTTGGAAAATAATTTCCTGGGACAATGTTATTTTATCTATTCTATCAGATAACACTCAACTATCTCCTTGAGGGGGCCAGCGGTGATTATACAAACAAAACTACCCGCCTAATAAGCAGATAAAACAAAAATCTTACTAACTCCTTAAGAGGCCAGTCGAGATTGGAGATTGGTTCTGGAGGGGAGGGTATGAGCCAGGCCAGGTCAGGCGGCGGGTGCGTGCTGGCCTCCCTCACGACCGCCAACACCAGAGCCAACGCCTCCTCCCTCAAATGCACCATCGCACACACCTGCACACACATGTGCACTCACAAACAATGGTTTTGCGACTAATAACATAACACTAAAAGGACAAAATTAAATCATGGTCATATTTATCCATAACTTAACCCAAAAGTTCAGCAACTCTGGAAGTTGGAGAAAAAAGTTCCCCTCGTGCCTACAGTCTTCTAATAAAGGCATTGAACCGTTTATCTAATTGGTCGATCTAAGGATTACTTATACGTTCTACGCATCGCTGGAATGTGCATCATATAGAGAAAACAACAATTTTATTGTTGGAATTCTCCAAATACTGAACCTTTTACAATTGTAAATACATATCTGCAGTATTTATAGAAATACTCACTAATGCTCTCAAAACCTGACAGTAGAAAAAAAAAAAAAAACTATAAAAGCAAATGGAGAATACAGTGTCCACATTAAATTAAAAATATTTCAAAATGATCTGACCAATACAAACATTATAAAATATTTAACTAAATATTTAACAAGTTAAAAGTATTGAAGAGGCAGTTGTTCATATCCTCATTAGTATGTTATAGGACTTGGTTAGTTGATTTATCCTTGGTATCAGTCTGTGGCTATTGACAAAATTAAATTCAATAAATATTGTTTAATTACAATGAAATTATATATAAAGATTTCTTGAACTGATAAACGCTCCACGTGACAGCCTAATAGTTAGCCCACAGTAAAGATTTATCTTCGTAATGTGTTTTCCCATTGTCCGGAGAGGAATTCTATTAAGTTCATAGAAGTCTTCTAAGGGCCTAGGTCAACGACTGACCTTCCCAAGAATGTAACCAAACACAGTTGTCCAACCTCTGAATACATGTTTACAGGTGAAAACGTTTGTCCTAGTGCAGGATTCGTATTCGATTGCAAACTGACTTATCTACGGAAATAACAGTATATTAAATAATGCAAACTGTTATTATCCAGAATGTAAGTTACATCTTGTACTGCATTGCACATAAATAGTTTATTTGAAGAGTGAAAACGCAAATATTTAAAATCGCCTACGCAAATTCCTTCATGCAAGGCCTACAATGATACAAGAAGCATATGAATGTTAACACCAAATCACTTTGCAGCCTCTCTTCGGACAATGCTCGTCCAAGCATTTACAGATATGGTATTCGAACAGAAGACGTCATCGAAGCCCTGTCCGAGAAATGGTCGAACATCAATTTCGAGTAGTACGTAAAGTGTTTTTCCATTCATAGACAGGTGATTTGGCGCCTGGATTAACTAGCAGTTGGCCTTTATTTATGATGACGGGCTGCACTTTGTTGCTCCATCTAGTATGTTTATGTTCGAAGGGTTTATAAAAGCTACCAGTCCCAAGATAAGATAATGAACCTTACCTGACAAGGTAGATAATACCGTGAGTGTCAACTTGGTAAACCTTGTCCTGCTCAAGCTTAAACATTCATTAGCAAACACCTGTTGATGTAGAGAACATCCTACTTGATTGGTTGAAACATGTTAATAACCAAATTATTCAAAGATGTCGACTTGTTGATATTTTCTGAAGAGTTACCATGTTTGTTATTTGACACTATGTATCAACGACACCTACTGAGTAAACTATGTTGTCGTGAACTAGCACAATACATTCATGTCAGCGTCATCTATTGAGTGAGGTACACATTTTAATGTATTTTGCTTTATGAAATCAGCTATATTTTTTTAAGTAAGCTGTAATATATATATTGAAATTTGTCAACACTTGTCATCGTATGGAATGCAAATAAAAAAATACATGAAACGTTTGACGTGTGGGAAAGGTTTTCAGTTAACATATCCGGGATGAAATTGTTTATGTAATAATCTCCGTTGAGGGCTGATAAAAGATTTTTTGTGCCCTCTGTATTGCTTTTTGCGCATTACAAAATTTTGCTCACAGGATGAGTATGGGGTGCACAATAAACTAGCCGCCTCAAGAGGCCTCAAAAATCCGAACTGAACCCAACAAATGATAGTAATCTGTGAAACATTTGCAAATTTACAGTCGGATATAAAGAACCAAAGCGAAGGGTGTGAGCTGGAAAGAGAACAGAGTCATGGCCGCTCGCGGGAATGACTTGTCAAAATCATGCAGCACTTCCAAAACATGATAAACACTGAGAGTGCGTCACATGGGCGACATTTGTAGCTGATATTTTAGAGAACATTTTAAGGCACTTACTTAAAATTGATCTTTTGTGATTTAATTTAATGAGAACAATAATGAATGTGCAGGCGATGAGTCACAATAACGTGGTTGAAGTATGTTGACCAGACCACACACTAGAAATTGAAGGGACGACGACGTTTCGGTCCGTCCTGGACCATTCTCAAGTCGATTGAATCGACTTGAGAATGGTCCAGGACGGACCGAAACGTCGTCGTCCCTTCAATTTCTAGTGTGTGGTCTGGTCAATAATGAATGTATATAAAAATTTAAAGTTAGTATTATTTTCTTTCCCAACTTTGTTGGCGAAAAGAGATTGTCTAGTCACTATAGTGAATAGTTTACTGAAACGTGTTTTGTAAACTATTGAAATGCTTGATGGGATAGTCCTGTAGAAAAAAATATATAGTTCCATTTGGACACAGCGTATAATATTTCAAGGACCAAACGCTTCAAAATTTCCAAATTATAAGCCACTAAACTATAAGCCGAAGAAATGGATAGACGTAGTCTGAATTAATAATCAGAGGGGGCTATTGTATATTGATGGTGAGGGGGGAAGTATTCTATAATAAACAGGAATGTTTCAGTATAAACTGAAAAAAAAGGTTAAAACTGGCTTGATCAAGTTTCTTTTACACTGGATGATGTTTGTTGTTTAAATTTTAGATTAGATTAGATTAAAGAGCTTTTTTTCATTAGCAACTTATACGAATCATTACAGTTCTGGCAGAACAGCTAATATGCAAATTAAATGATCGTTCTCGTGACGGCAAACATATATAAGGCTTATCAAGGTTTTCCTGGCCAAGGGCGAGGATATCCGCGAGGTCACCCAAACAATTACTGGGCAGACCCATTGAAGCTTAACCGTGTGGCTAGCATCAGTCACAGTACTGTATTAGCTCTTAACTGTCCTAATTAAATTATTCCTCTTCCAATTGTAATGTAACTAAGTATGGTTATCCATGTGGCCGAATGTCCTGATTGTGAGGATGGGTGGAAATTTTGTTTTTTCGCTGCCCCATTATCCTCAGCCTTAAAATCTATAGTAAATCTAGCTCTTTTTACAAATAAATCCCCTTCTGTCTTTTTGCTTCCATATTGGGATTCACAGTGGAATCTAAGAACTGAATATTGTGATATTCATGGTGCTACACAGCCATACTAGCATGAACTTTCTCTTGATAACTAATTACTGAACACAAGTACATTACATATCATGCCCGTACGTAATGAAAGCAATGGTGAGAAAAATTACAATTTTCTGAACCTAAAAATGAGGTACTGTACCTGTTTACATACAAACATTCTGCACTGATACACACACACACTAATAAATGTATATAATGTGTTCATCAATAATATTGTAAAGCATAGAACGTGTGTGCATTCATGTGCGTTCGTAAACACAAACCCATTTTTGCCTTTGGAAATGAAATGTGCCGTACGACAAGCCTTCCTCCTCCGGCAACAGGATATACAGGGAAAGGCTATTGATTTTTGATTTTCGCTATCTACATCTTAATGATGGACACTCATACAGTATTGATGCATTAAATATCTACAGTTTTAGATGCTTATTAGTAATCTATAAGATAAAATCACACATAGAAATCTATTTAAGATAAGAGAACGTGGCTGTAGGCGTACGATGTGTATATGAGCGGGCGAGGTAGGCGACAATGTCAGTGAGGCAGTAGTCGCAGCCTGGAGGTGAGGGAGTGTGTGCGTTGTGGTTGGTGGTCTGCTCGCTGGGCTAGTTTCATTAAGTGGGTCACTGTACGGCCAATACTCTCGCTACTATAGGTAAGACTTAAGTATTTCACGCTAAAGAGTTTAGTTGATGAGTAAACCTTTATCAATATTTCAAGAAGGCGTGGTGGTGGTTTGTAGTGTCTTAAGTCGGCGATGGTGTCAAGCAGCAGTGCTTGTTACCATGGCAAGTGTCACGCTGTGAATAAGCAGCTGTTGTGTTGTGTGTGTTACAGCCCGTCACTCACGCCGTAGGGACAGTAGCGTGTATTGACCATGCGGCGACAACAATGGTGGTAGAGGGGACCACAACCTGGTATTTCGTGTATTTACGGATATAACCGACCACGTAGATCTCCAAGTTTTGCATGATTTATCAGTGTGTGTGTGTGTGTGAGGGGAGGGTAGAGGTGCTGGTACCACACTAATAGTCTCACTAGAAAGTGTTCCCCCATGTTACACGCTCAAATATAATACATGGCCAGTATTTAAAAAAAAATAGGTTATTTGGGTATAGTTTTGCAATTAAACTACTTCTAGGTAGGTTAAATTTGTTATATTTAAGAGTAATTTATTGTTACCTCAATGTTCTAAAGCAAAAAATATGCATTCCATGTTACTTTATTGGTTTAGTTTATTAAACATTACAAGAGGATAAAATGTCTATATATATACAAGGCAAGTAGTATATTTTCAAGTGTTTTGCATGAAATAACCTTAATTGTCAAGACTTTTACTTGCATCGAGAGTTGAAATTGAGCGGAAGTAGACCGGATAATTGAAACACTTGTGTAGTCTTGTTTTTGTGAGGAAGAAGTCCCTCCACAGAACGTGGAGGACACTAGTTTATACTGATTTCAGTGGAGACTGTGAATTAATCATTGACACTGCATGTTGAGGACCCATAAATCACAGTAGCTAACATAGTGATTCAGAGTTGGGGGGGGGGGGGGGGGGGAGAGGGGTAATCTTTGACCCAGCGTTCTGGATAAACCCAGACGCGCACCTTTTAACCGTATACAGTGTAGATTTATTGCTCGAGGTTTAAGAACACAACCAATATAAATTTACAGGCTTTGCTTAATCAAAGTTTTAAACTGATGTAAGAAATTGTTGATTTGTTAGGGGTGAGATAGTATAGGTAAATTTAATCTTGGCCAAGGTGGTGCGCAGTGTGAATGGTAGTTGTAGGATGGTGCGCAAACTAAGGTGGTGGAAATGCACTGGTTAAAAATTGTACTGTTATTGGAAAACCAGATAACTTTTACACATTTGTAATGTATGATTACATTAGTCACTCATTATGCAATCGCCCCTCTACCCATCCCGTAGGCTGTGGTGGGGAGGGTTAGAGGTACATAATGGATTCTAGGGGGAATTACTAGGGGGAGGCACAGTCATTACGATTATATAGCATATGGAAGGGGTCAGGATAAGGATTTTCTATGGGACGGAGTGCCCAATCACTTGGACAGTCGGATTGAACTCAGTAGCTTGAGTAGACCGTCGCTCTACCATTGAATATTAAGAGCTATTTATCCCCATGCCACCTTTTGGATGGCTTAATTTTTTTATCAATCGTCTCGATTCCATAGTTCACTTAGCTTGGCAAATGACACCCTTGAAGGTAGTCATACAACTAATATTACATATACTTATGTTTCATTATTGCAGTGTAAGTTCTTTAGCCTAGGAGCTGCTGGATTCAGGCAAGACAAACAAAATGGAATTGAAAAAGGTGCAAAAAAGAGGCGCCACGTACGGCTGCACAGGAGTTGGGAAGCGTGCACGTGTGCTGTAAGGATCGATGAGCTACAAGCTGTGTGTACTCTGGTCTACTACCAGACTCGACTGTGTTGGTCACAACAATTATATTTGATTTATTTAATCCAATGAAAACATTGTTAAATTAATTCAATGAAAATAAGGCAGAGAAATCTTTAAATACTTCTAGCTGCATCTGCAGGCGATACGGTATCACTTTCCAAAGGGTTTCTTAGGTGGTGGAACTCCTTAAGGAATATTGAAGGGAATGACCATATGGTCGTCTGCCATATTTGCTATTTTTTAAAGTATTTACTTTAATATTCCATGCATTTGAATTTCCTGTGGTATTTTGATTGTTGCCGCCGGTGGCGGCTAGTTTATTGTGCACCCCATACTCATCCTTTGAGCGGTAACGCAAAAAGCATTAGAGGGCACAAAAGGTCTTTGTAATAATCTAAGTTTAGGTCTGAAACAATTTCATCCATCCTTCACACCTTGTAATTAAAATTGGGGTAGTCTGGCTATCCGGTCTTCATCCCTGGTGGTTATCGTCTGAACTTCACTATTTCTCTTATATGATCGGTTAGGCAAAGTGACACTTTCAGCGGCGTTTAATTTGTTAGGCACCCCAGGATACCCATCCGTGGGCGGCGGTGGTAAAGTTTACAGGTACTGTACACGTAATGGCCATGGGACCTGAACCTTCAAGTTCGTTTAGCTAAGCAAGTTTGCGCTGCTCGGCGTACGCTCAATATTACACTACCCTTCATTGGCTATCATCAGTGGTTGTTTAGGGTCAAAAACTAGTAAGGACGGGCACGGAATCGGCTTTGTTGCATGGCGATTGTGGTGGTTACGGGGGGGAGGGGGGGGGGGGTAGAAATAGCCTAAGCTGCTCTATCAATTTGAGATGTATTTCTTTGTCTCAATAAACATACTTGAACTTATGGTGGCTACAAATGTTTAATTAGCGATGGTGGTGATGGAGGGGAGGGAGGGGGGAGACGGATGCTTGTTATTAAAAGCAGTGACTAGAGACCAAGATTAGGATTCACAGAACACCGACTTCTCTAAGATGTCTCCACCTCTTTCCTCGATCATAGCGGCCAAGTCCGTAGTTCGTAAACCGTGTAATTACAAAGGCCGCTACAAGGCCGCCCGCAACCCACGATTGTTATGAACTACATATAAGTGATTTCTAACTCTTAAACAGTTTTAATAAATAGCGACTAAGCCTGCCTCTACATGATCGAAGAAAAATGTTTATCTCGTGTAGTCACTTGAATAAAGATGAATCGGTGTCAAGGTTTTAGTGGCAGTTATGGGATGTAAGTTTTGATCTTGTAGATACTTTGTTATTGTGGTGCATTAGACGAGTTCACGTGTGGTAGGGGGTTGTGGTACAATGAGTGAATGCACGTGTGGGGGAGGGTTGGGGTGGGGGGTTGGGGTGCATTGGTGAGTACATGGAAGGAAACGTGTACCATTGGTTACCATGATGATTCAGGTGTTATCGTGACTGTTATCCACACTAGACGTTATCGTGGCCAGAGGATGGTATCGGTCAGGGATCTTCAATTTGGTCAGTTACGTAGTACATGTAATTACATAAGACTATCTTTTAAACTAAATTGTGTGCACCTTTTTAAAATATTTACTGGGCTGCAAAAACGGGTTCACTGTCGATGTATAATCATTACATAAGTTTGTTGTCACTTTGCGCTAAAATAAGATCCCACACCTGACGCTGAGGAACGTGTTCTCTCGTCTAATCATATTTTTTTTACGGAATCGGCCAATCTTTTACAAATGTGACATGAAATTTAAAGCATTGTAATATTGTCATTTTTAATGCATCGGCCTTGGAAGGTTATGAAGTTTGCTTGGGTTAGTAAGTCTCCAGTTAGTAGAAAGTTTAAATTTCCCAGTGGTAAGTACGTGCCATGCTCACAGGCTTGACAGACTATATACTGTCTACAAACTGATAACATCACAAAGACCATAAGAACTGATCTAGTCGAGGAATTAGGACGGGAAGTGCAGTTATTGTTCATCAGCCCGACGGCAGCACATTTCTGGAATCCCCATAAACTAAAGTCACAAGCGGAGCAAGCAGGCTCTGTTGGCGATTATTTGTATTTGTAGTACGTGGGCGAAGCATTTATAGCGTTGTGGTTCGAACAAAATTCGTCAGTGAAGCTCTTGTTCCGGAAGTGTTCTGACGAAATCGGTTGAGCCGTGTGTAAACTATTTTTCATTGACAAACATGGGGTTTGGCGGGTGCTTGGGATCACTCTTGGGTCTTTGTTTGGAGGACGAGCGGGAAAACCAACACAATATTTGTGAGTGCCCTGTTTATAAACTTAAGAGCGAATGATAAGAGCTATTTTCAGATCTGTAACTACTTTTTACACACGCGAAAATAGTGTTGTGCTCTACTCAGTTTGCCAGTGTAGGCTATTAGACTAAACGGTCATGTGTTCTCTCCTCTCATGTATGACAATACTGTACTTTGAGATGGGGATGAACTCGTAGCTTGCTCTTGATCTGTAATCCTTCTTGTAGAATACGGTGGCAACACATTGCTCTGTGTACTAAAGTTTATAACGCAAAATGGAAAAAGCTGCGCCAACCACAGATGTTGCCATACGGACCGTGAAATCCTTCCTCAGTTTGGTTATCAAGAAAAGTTGACAAACCTGGTCCTTGTCTGCGCTTGGGGAAGTAGAGCTCTCGGAATAGACTACAGGTAATGTCTCGTTCACGAATAGCTTTGGTCCATGCGAAAGTAGCGCAAAAGATTGCGCTGAGGTTTTAAAATGATGAAAGTTGTGTAATGGAGACGGCGGGTAATCTATGGTGGGTTACTCTCCCCACCACTCACGGACGCACTCTTACTTTTAGCTGAGGAATTGGGCTGAACATATATGCAGCCGTTAACATGTGCTCGAGGGAAGACAGTACACAGTGTCGATAAATAACATTATATCAATATTTATGAAAGGGTAGATCTATATTGATCTACAATCGACTTGAATGGTCCAGGACGGGCCGAAACGGCGTTCGGCGGCAACAATCAAAATCGTCGTCCCTTCACCTTCTAGTGTATGGTTAGGTCAACATACTTTAGACACGTTGTGACTCATCGTCTGCGCCGGTAGATCTATACATCTTCAAGGTATCCTATTAACGGTCGTAGTGTTAATTACCAAGAGATAATTGTATAATGAACATAGATATACCCTGATCAGTTAAAGGATTAAATCTCTAAAGCAATTGGCATTTAG